AATATAATTTGTATAAAAGCCAGAAAAGTTTTATTGTATAATACTGTATAAGTAGTATTGTGTAATGAACTCAAACCACTGTGTATTTAACTCTAATTTTGCTACGGTAGGCTCTTTTCTTAACTATGGATAGTCTGTAACCCAGGCGTTCTTAACCTGGGGACCACCTGTATACTCTCCTTCGTGCAAATATAAGGTGGGGATCTTTTCTAATGACAGGTGCACCACTCACAGTTTATTTTTATTTATATATTTGCCACATTTATATAGCTTCCCATCTCACACAAAGTGACTTTTTACCGAAGTAAAACTGATATATGCAACAAACCTTTGGGGAAATCAAATTGTTTCATTGATGGTTCTGTGCTGATTGAGTTTTATTTAAGTGTATTGGCCACAGTATTTAGGTATATTAGCTACTTTTCCAGCCCTCCTCTCCCCCCTCCCTGCCAAGTGATTTATAACTAAAACGTTATTAGATCTGCTAGCAGTGTTTTGATTCTGTCAGCACGGTCCTATAGATACCTTCTTTGAAGTAAGAACACGTCAAGTGGAGCTTCTCTCAAGGTCGTTAAATGTAGGATGGCAGTGTAACTGGGTTTATGTAGCAGGATGTTTGCTTCCATTGGAAAGGGGTTAAATGGTAATCTTGAATCATCATTCTGCAGTGAATTTTTGTGAACAAATATGGACAATTTTCATTTTTCCTTCTAGTTAAATATAACTTCTGACAGTATCCTAAAAAAAAAGCTTACTGTTTCCTGAAATCCATGAAACCATTTTGAGGGTCTTGAACATTTGCTATTGCACATGTCTGACTTTTGTGAATAGGGGCTATAGATACCTATGAAGAGAAGCTTCAGGGCAGTTCCTAAGTATTTGTACACATTGAAGTTTTTTTGTTTTTCAGGGATTCAGGTCTCTTGCAAACATTATTTAGTGTTATTCTAACCCCTTCTTAGGCTGGGGCAGTCGAGTCTTACTGCGGTTTGCTGTGAAGCACTTGCCAAAGTTATAGTTGAAAAACCATCTCTACTGGAACTGGATGTGAGTTACAGCCACATAGGGGATGAGGGTGTGTTTAAGCTGTGTGAAGCAGTGAAAAATCCAAACTGTAACCTGAAATATCTAATGTAAGTATCTCTTTCTTAGCCTGTAGGAATGAGTTAAAGGGGGTTGTTTAAGAGTGTCTTTAGAAAAATGGAAAAGATAGCAAAGTCTATATTTGTGTTCAGATTAAAAAAACCACCTATAGTTTTGATAGAGCTTGCTAAACCGGCCCTCCAAATGCCTTTGTTGTATTTGCAGTCAGTCTGTAATTGATTCCAGGATGATCAGTCACCGTTTTAAGTATTTCAGAAGCATTTCATTGAGCACCTAATCGATTGATTTTCTCGGCCATGTTTCCCTTGCATAGCCTTGCGTATTCTTGAAATGGTCTTGATGTATCTTAAAAGCTATTTGCCCTCAGATATGCATATTTAGAAACATGGTTCTGGTTGATTGAATCTTAATGTTAGAGTGTTAGTTGAATGTCTGCCTTTGTGGTAGCCAGAACATCTGCCTCTATGGAAGTGGTATCACCTCTAGAAATGGGATTTCATGTGTTTTATTGTGTTATTAGAGATGTGATTATCAACTTTGAGTGATTTTATGCTTGTTTGGTAATTCTAGTGTAGTCCTAGTAATAACGGAATTCTCACCTGTAACCTCACCTATAGTACTAGTAATTTGAATTAAACTCTTTTACAGCTTGTATGACACTTACTGGACTTCTCAAGCAGATAAGGAGCTGAAGGCTCTGGAAGGGCTGAAGCCTGAATTTCAAGTGGTTACATGAGTGGTGCAGTTTTGCTGGGGCCACTTCTGCTGTCTTGTCTTCTCTTGACCTTCTTTCTGTAAACCAAGTTAGCAGCCCAATGATGGATGTTTTGATTCCAGAGTCACGGGCATGATGTGATGTACCAAGAAATTCCATTCCACATTAGGGATATGATGAAATGGTGAGGATGTAAAATCATGTTGATGGGCTTTCCACCATTTGGAAAATAAAAGAAAAGAGTAGAACAAAGTAAAACAAATCTCTTGCCAACTGTCATAAAGCAATAATGTAGATAGCGTAAGAGACTATTCGATAAGATTAATTGGCAATAATACTCACTTTGATTGTCAACATAATAATAACACAGTATGTGTTTTCCTTAAGTGCAGTTGTTTCATATTTTCTGCTCAAAGTACAAGTGATCTTCATCTCTCTCAGCCTATGTAGCTTTATTAAAAAATAAAGTTTGCTTGTAAAGATATACTTACGATTTTGTCTTTTGTGCAAAGAGACACTAAACATTTACATTAATTTCCCTTTTGATGTTCACAGCTTAGGCCTCAATCATGGATCAATAAAGATTCCATATATGTTACATTAGTTTTTTAAAAGCCTGTGCAATGCTAGTGGTATACCGTTTTTTACTTGCCTAATTTTAACTAACCATAATATGCACCCATCTGGTGAGACTTCTCATGCTAATCACTTAATAGACATTGAATATCCTCTCTGAGAAAATGGAGTTTAAGTGATGGGCAATATGCTAGGTGTGTTTCTCTTCTTATTCCAGTTTGGTATTCTGATTAACTGGGTCCAGTAAATAACCTACCTATGCTAAATATCAGTATGCCTTCCTAAAATTGTATTGTGCTCAGAATACTATTCACACTTATTGGTATCATTTAATAATCACTTTATTTCTGTTCCAGTAGCTTTTGAATTATTATTGGAACAATTTAAGCAACAACCCTGTATTGTGGTTACCTGTCACTTCAGGATTTGGCTGCTGTCATCCAGGCTTGATAGGTTGCAGAAATTCTATAGGGGATTGACCTCAAAGATGATTTAGAAACATTTGGTAGGGCAAACGGGAACTGTTCATCTGATAAGGACCAGAAGCAGAGCAAGCAGGTTTCATCCTGGAGCCAATGTAGCTTTTGCAGGCTGCAGCCCAGATTGTTAGAACCCTGAGCTGTGTGATCTGTGGTATTATTTTAAGGGAGTGTAACAAACTACTTGCTTTATTTAAACTAGAACCAATGCGTGGAGTGTAGGCAGTCATCTTTATTAATCTTGATTTTTACCAAATCATGCCTGCTACTTGCAGGTTCATTTTGGAAACAATGATCAGTATAACTGAACCTAGACATCTCATGAGTGATCTTACTAAGCCCACTTCAGACAGCTCACCAGGCTTGTGAAAATATCTGTGTATGCATACATACAACAGAACACATACAGACATACCTAATGATCAATATACTTGAGCAAGATTCATAGTGAAAAATTGTCCTCTATTTGCAATTCCTAGAGCTAGCTATTACTACAGTATCTTCAATGTCCAGGCCAATGCTAGAATTGTAGTACCCCACTATGACAGGTGGATGTGCCAAGGATTCTTAAACAGTCACTTATTTCAAAAGAGAAAGATGGGAGGAGGGAGAAGCTAAGCATAATTTCAATTTGGTCCTTGGACAACTTTTCCATTTCCATGAATTTCTCCATCTACATAATATTTTGGTGTGATGTCTACAGAGGTTTCCGAAGTAGCTAAAATCAAGAAGAAAAGCTGCAATGTTGGCATGGTATTTCCCTGTAAGTAAGAATAAGTTACCTCTTTTAAAAAAGCTAATTAACTCAGCCGCTTATTCCACTGGTAAGGATAACTTCTTAAAAAGTTACGGCTTTTTCAATATATCTCCTCTTAGTCCAGGAGAGGGCAGTGTATGGTCCTGCAGTTGATATTGGACTGCAGTTCCCATAATTCCTGGTCATGCTACTAAGGACAATGGGGACTGGAGTTGGCTGGATCACCACATGTTGCCCATTTATGCCCTATAATTATAGCATCCTTAAGAAGCTCCTTGTTATATTCTTTAGCTCTATGCTTGTTACCCACTCTTGAGAAAAATAGGTTTCCCCTTACCTTTCCATGAGAAAAGTTGAAAGAAGCTGCTTCTATCAGCCCATAGAGAGTAAAATGTAAGCAGGGTTAGTGCAAGTCCATTAGAGTTCCACTGACTATTCTAAATGTGTGTCATCCTCTCTGGTCATGACTTATCTCCCACAAAGGAACGGCTCCATTTGTATATTAAATTTTGTATATAATTTTTTAACTCCCATAGTATTGGCTGGTATCCATGAGTTTCATGAGGATCAATATACTGAGAATGAGTCAAAATGAAACATAGTGCCTACAGGAAGTTCATCAGTATGGCTAATTGGTGCGTATTCTATACTAGAGGGAGTTGCATTTACCCTAAAGCATTTACTCTAAAGGAGCTACCAGAATGGTCCCCAGCACGACTTTTTAAGTTCCCTGGGACTCTCCATGTTTGGGCAAGGCTTCTTTTTCAACTTAACTGGGACAGAATAGAGAAGATAAACACCATTGGCCATCCTGTCACACAACCACCCAAACATTCCAACTGTATTTGTGGCTGATAACCTGATCCTGTGAAAAGAACAAGTGAGGAGTCTCTGATGGAATGGGGAAAGTGGAATTTGGCTAAGAAGGAAGTTGCAAGCAGGAAGAAGAGAAGAAAAACTGGCTAACAAACAACTAAATCTTTAACTGCCAAAGAGATGCAGATTCTAGAGGGATTCAATATCACCTAAAAAGTATCAGCATAGGGGTTGCTATGCAAAGAAGATAAACCAGCATAAGTTGTGTCTACCCTGCTGTAGAGAGTAAGGAAGATGACCTTGGCAAATAGCCCAGAACTCTTATCAAAGCGGCGTGCAGAAAAACATGGCTGAAATCCAAAACTACAGTGGGACAAGGGAATTGCCTTGAGGGACAGAAGGAAGAGCCGCTACCAAGACAGTCAAATAAAAGAAACCTGAGTCTGGGGCAGAACTGTAACCTGAGAAAACATCTCAGACAAGACCCTCCCTAGTTCTCACAAAGTTGGAGGGGGCATTAAAACTTGCAAGATTCTGCTACTATATAATATAAATAATGTTGGCCTGCATGATTTTGGTTTCCTAGTCTGGTCTACCTTGAAGGTCTGACAAAAATAAGCAGAAGGTATGTGTAAGTAGCTCAGACAGAACTTCCCTAATTCACATGGGTTTAAGAAGAGCAGGAGGTACAGCACAATCAGACTTGCAAGATTCTGTTATTAGAGCCACTTTCGATAAAAGTAGTCTTAGTCTTCCTGTAGAGCTGATTCTTGGTCTGGATGTAGAGTGTGAGGAGTAGGCCTTGACAGATCTAGGTCAGATCTATTACCAAAGCAATGAGGAGTGGCGGCATTAATCATTTTGATCTGTCAGCTTTGCATAATATTGTGGGTGCAATAGTTTATATGGATATGTGCACTTAGTTACTTCATTTTAAATGGAAAGATAAAATATTGTGTTAGTGATGACTCTGGTCAACCTGCTTTTCTATTGAGCTGTCCAGGTACTAAGCAAAGGTTTGATAGACAACATTTGTTGCCTGTGGTGGACCATTTCACCTGGTTTGATGGCAGGCTGTGCCTGACAGTAAAACTCCTAGTATACTATGCAGATCAGGGATGGGAACCCTCTAGTCCACAGGCAAAATGGAGCTCATCAGGACACTTCATCCAGCCTGCAGGGCCTTGAGCAAAGCTCCTTCCCCTTCCCCTTCCCCAAAGCCACCTTCCTCCTTCACCATTGCCAACTTCCTAAGTGCGCTTTGCTTGCATCTTGTCCTTTCCCTTTTGTCAAAAAAAGTGGAGTAAGCAAAGCCAGCTACAGCTGACCCCACCAGTACCTCTGCAAGAGTGATCCATTCCTTGTTCTTCCTCCTCACAGGGGAAAGGTGGGACACAACTGAAGTGAGTAGGATTTCTGGAGATGACTTCATACTTTCCCTGACTGTATTTTAGGGAATTCCTAGGTTCCATGCAGGCAAATCCAAGATCCAGCAGTGAGAGCTGAGTGTGGTCTTGCACCAGTCCAAAGTCAGTCAGGAACTCAGAAGAAGCATGCATTCAGGAAATCAGGTCCCAGGCGGAAAGTTGTTTGCCGACAGAAATCTGACTCCCAAGTCTTTCTTTTGTAGCACTGATTCAGGCATGCTTCTTTATTTCAAGGAGCCCCATTGAACATTTCTGTTCTACTCACTTGGTCTTTCTGCACTTGTGAGGGCTGAGGATCTTTTCCTACTCAAGCTGTAAGTCAGAGGATCACCCTGCTGCCAGACTTCTGTGACAGAGGGCTGATTGCTTGACTGCTCCAGGCTGCGGGCTCATCCTCCAGTAGGAACAGGGCTTGCTCTTCTTGACCTCATTTGCAGATACCTAAGAGCCCCTGGCTCCTGATTTGCAAGGTCAGAATCTGTCAAGCCCTGGTCCTCCAATTCAGAATCTGACTCATCAGACAGGCCCACAACACCCTCCCTTCCACTGGAGATGTTATGCAAGACACTGGAGATAGGGATTTCATGTAGTTGATTTATGACAACCAATGTGTTTCCCACTGGTAAAAATGCCCTCCTGGAAGTAACCAATCAAGAAAAGTTTAAACAGAAATTGACTTCACGTGTCTTAATCCCCAAAAGTATCTCTTTTCCAATGATGCCCCATTTCTCAACCCAGCAAAGACTATCATCCTTGGAGCTTCATCCCCGATATATTTTCTCCTCATCAGAACCCTAGAGACTCCATTTAAATCTCCTTGCTTTTGGAGTTTCCTCTTAAGAAATGAAATTTTAGCAGTAAAATCCTCTATCTTTCTACAAGCTAAAATTCCCAAATTAATTTTCATTCTTTGCTTAACAAGAAAAACAGAAAAGGGATAGATCACTCTTTGAAATTTGAATCACTGGTAGGTGTTTTGTTGAATTTGTTTTTGTGGGAGGAAATTAGACATATCAGTCTGCGGTAAGGGTCTTTTTTATGCCTGTATGTACCCCAAAATGTGTAGCCAAACACTCAGCACTATAAATGCTGCTTTAGTGCGCATTGAGTTAGATTAGTGTGTATTTTTCCTTCCTCCCCTGCCTGTTTAATCTCACAATAAACCTGCACATGATAGATCATGCTGAGAGAGAATGAGTAATTCAGAATCACCCAAGGAGCACCATGGCAGAAAGGGGATTTGAACTTGGTTCTCTTCCCCTCTTAATCTGACACTCGGACACGCTAATGCAATATATTGACTTCAAATGGTGATTGTGCATTGATTACATTCATAGCCGCCTCTTATTCTAAATCGCTCGGAACAATCTGCACATAGTTCCAGATGATTTCTGATCCAGAGGCTGCTCAGAATGAGGTGTGTAACTTCCT